CCGAGACATGTCTGGATTGATCAAGTTCAAACTTCACACACACAAGGTACATCATGTCACAAATATGTATGTGTATTTGTTTCGTGATCTCATTAACGATAGCCAAATGGCGGCCGCTTTAAGGCCGAAACTGCATTGAAATCGCACATTTTCACCATTCCGGACCCGGATCTCAGTTATGCATGGACGGATTTCATTCAAACTTGGTACATACATTAAACATAATAGGACCTTGATGCACGTCATTTTTTTTTTCGGATCAAGTTCGAAATAGCCGACTGGCGGCCATTTTGTTAAAGAATTCAGTTCTGGATCCGTATCCAAGACATGTCTGGATTGATCAAGTTCAAACTTCACACACACAAGGTACATCATGTCACAAATATGTATGTGCATTTGTATCATGATCTCATTAACGATAGCCAAATGGCGGCCGCTTTAAGGCCGAAAATGCATTGAAATCGCACATTTTCACCATTCCGGACCCGTATCTCAGTTATGCATGGATGGATTTTGTTCAAATTTGGTACATACATTAAACATAATAGGACCTTGATGCACGTCTTTTTTTTTTTCGGATCAAGTTCGAAATGGCCGACTGGCGGCCATTTTGTTAAAGAATTCAGTTCTGGATCCGTATCCAAGACATGTCTGGATTGATCAAGTTCAAACTTCACACACACATGGTACATCATGTCACAAATAGATATGTGCCTTTGTTTCATGATCTGCTTAACAATAGCGAAATGATGACCATTTTAAGGCCGAAAATGCATCAAAATCACGTATTTTCACAATTCCAGAACCGGATCTCAGTCATGCATGGATGGATTTTGTTCAGATTTAGCACAATGTGTTGTACATATGCAGGTGCATTTCGGCCATGATCTGCTTTGAATGTATATGTCACTCAAATATGAACGGAACGGGGACGTGTCATTGACAATGACTTGTTGTGTTCGTTTTTATTTGAAACTTCGTTTATTTAGAATATATTTTCGTTACCAATAAAATAAAAATCTCTCAGTCAATCAGAAACCCGGATTCATGCCTTTGAGGAAGGTCCCGTTTGAACGCTCACATCGGTTTTTTTTTCGTTTGGGGGAAAACTAAAACTGGTCGCAATTTTCGAATAAGAATGAGTCGGCAATTTTTAGTGGAGTCGAAAATTTGGAGGTAAATAAAACACTGAAACCCGGCAAATAAACAGGCGGTCAAATTTTTAGAGGGGTCGAAATTTTGGAATTTTCACGGTACTAATTATTCCATTTCAATGAAACTTAGTACGAAGATGCTCTAGGACAATGTACAAACCTAATTAGTTTGGGGTAAAAATCTGTTCATATTAATTCCCTAATAAGCATAATAATTTCATAATTTTTTGGTTCTAATCACATTTCAATTAAACTTGGAGACATAGATTTTCTGTTACATTGCGCAGACCTCATTAGTTTTACACTCAAATCTGGTCATATTAATTTTCTGATTTGCATAATTACTTTTCAGCTAAGTAATTTCGAATTATATTTAATGTGTCTCCAATACTCTCAGCACATGGGAGTTCTTTCTAAGCTTTCTTTGATTGTTTTTTGTTTTTTTGTTTTTTTAATAGGCCCAAATATTACCATTTTGAGCAGTAAAAAAGTGTTTTCTCTAAAAAATAAACGATCCCGGACTGTTGCTTGATCCCCAGGGTCCCCAGAGGATAAGTAGCGACTTTGACCTTTGGGTTGATCTGTATTTCTCTGACATATTCCGAATACTGTGAAGTCTGAAGAACAAACATTCTTTTTGCATTTCAGGCCATTTTGACATTTGTGATTCACCTAATAATTCGTGCACAGTATTAAAAATATCTCCACACCAAGTATTTTCTTAATTAAATAAACAAATTATTTTGAATCAAAAACAATAAGTTTGTAGAAAATATAATTTTTAATACATGAAATGCACAAAATTTTATTGAATTTACAAAACGTGACATTTTATATTAAAACTCTCATCCGCTTACATCACAAACAAAACAACTGCTTTCGCACGTTGTTTTAGCGCTGTCAGTATTCTCACTTATTTGTCATCGTGTGTACGTACATAAGTACAGCGGTAGCAAAAATGGCGAACACGTTAGCTGTGTGAATGACAGCAAAATCTGGATCAACTATTAAATTTTGAATTTAGTTTAAACAAGAAAAATCTGACCGATCAATTTTCCCATTTTCCAACTGTTTTTTTTTTCCTTATAGCAGTGTTTTGATTGAATGCAATTAACTTCTTACAGCACAAGCACAGCCACAACCAGGTGCTGGCAACCAACCAGATTATTCCAATGCATGGGCTGAGTATTACAGGCAGCAAGGCATGTACTATGGACAGGCAGGTGGACAACAGTCTAATCAACCAACCAATCAGCCACCATCACAACAGGTAAGTGGTGTACAGTAAACCATTCATGCCCTGCTTAATACATGTACCATAATATCAACATACAAAATCTTGTTTTGTTACTGTCTGTAAGTTAATTGTTCTTCTTGTGCTACTTTTCTGTGTTAATGATTGCTTTTTGTTCTCACTGCTGCTCCATGCAGACATGTTATGTATTGTAACAGTGCTTTCTTTTGCTTTAATATTGTTGCCTATCATATTCTGTTGTAACTTTGCCCTAGGCTATTTTGTCAAATCAAATAATCACCCAAAGTAATTTTTCAACATTATCCAAGCTTTGGATAAAAATTTAAACATTAGAACAAGTTATAAACTGTACTAAAAATGTAAATGAGGGCAAATTTACAAAACTACTGTAGAATACTTTATTTTGGCTTTGAATTTATTTTCGCTGAAGAGATCATTCCGTGAAAATAAAATCCAGCCAATATGTTTTTTTCCTATATTTCACATTAAACTCATCAAAAATCAGTGCAAATAAATTCCAAACAAAACTAATTCCAGCGAAAATAAAGTATTCCACAGTACTATTGGTAGTGGCAATTCTTGTATATTTTGTCATAAATTGATAAATTAACTATAAATTTGAGCATAGATCTAAATGATTTGTTTGTAAAACTATCTTACTTTTCTGAAAGCCTTGTTTTCACTATCAATTTTCTTATCACTATCACTAGCGTGTCAACCATCTTGAACATTTATTTTTGCAATTTTAAACCATTACTTCCATTGCATTATGTTAACATATCTGTTCCTGTCCTGCTTTCCTACTTGCATAGGGACAACAACAATACTGATTCAAGCTTGGCTGTTGATGAAGGTGTGAGCTTTTTTCTCTTTACTTGGCTATCACATATCTTACTAACAGCTTTGGTGTATGTAATGTTGCGTCTGTCATGCTCTCTATTATATTGTATCACCATACCTTATTCCTTTACAGCAGAATGTAATATCGGCTCTTCCAGTCAGTGTGTTACCCCATGCTAATATAGTTCCTATATATATATTCTATTTGTTCTAACCAACCTTTCTTGCAGTTCATGGTGCCAAGATCTCAACATTAATACCGTCCACCCTTTTATTGCATTTTTTCCCACAGGGTCAATAAGGAAGTGTATACGTATAAACCATGTTGTGTGCATATATAAATAACATAATGCCTTGTATTGTTATGGATACATGGATTGTCTTGAAGATATCACATTGCATCAATTATGAAGACATTTTTAGGAGTAAATTTACACTTGCCATATTAGGTTGAGTCGAACCCTTCCTCTATACGCATCCAAAGTGTCCATGATATTGTAATTATAGAAAGTATTATTGGTCAGAATCATAATTTTAGTTTTTATATAAGTTATCATAGTCTAGCTACATGATTAATGCTATCAACATGGACCCATACTCTGTATAATCTAATTGTTTTAAGATAAGATTATTTTTTATTACTGCTGTTATTGAGACATGATTGGATATATATTTGCTCTGTTGAATTGTGCATGTGTATCAGATTACTTGTGCTATATTTTGTTCACCTATTCTGTTGTAGCAGAAAAAAAAAAGATAAGGTAAGAAAAAAAATTGTGGATATATAAATGAATATAGAATTTGTGACTTTGTGATTGAAACATTGCGATATTATTGGCACTTTTCATGCTGTAGTTAGGACTTTACAATGATTTTTTATTGTCTAACACTGTATCTATATAACTGCTTACCAGAAATATTTAGTGTTTTTTTATATTGTGACTATTACTTGCGCATTTGCTCAATGTATACAACTTTTATCATGTTGAGTGGCTTCCACAGTATTTTCCGACTTTGTTGAATGTGTAGGAGGTATTATTGGATTGAATGTGATGAGGGAATATCCCATTTGCTATCTCGTATATTCTCTGTATTTCTCTGGTTTTAATAAACTTTGATCATGATTATTGCTTCCATGTTTCCTGTATCGTATGTCATGTTCTGTTCTTCCCGCAGTAGTCAGTGATACACTGCAGCCGTAACAAGACCAACTATAGTGAGATGGAGATCACTACTGTGGTGGCACATATATACATTATAACTATCCTTGGTGTTTTGAAATTTATGACTAAATTGATTGCCCAGTGTTAGTATTTTTCTTATGGCATTTAATTGCAGCAGGCTGGTTCTCTGAAAGTTGTCCAAGAAAACAGGTAGGGAGATCATTGACAGCCCATACATAGTGTCCTGAAATGATTGTATGATGCACAATTATTGCCAATACTATTCATTGATATTTCTCTTGCATTGCAAGTGTCAAATGGAAATTAATGTTGTATCCATATTGTTACTTTTGTTTGTCAGTCTTAAATCCGAAATATTAACATACGTCTACACGCTAGTACTTTGCAATAAATGAGAACATTCAAACTTCCACATATTTGACCAATATTTAATTGGTAGTTAGAAATTCATCATTATGTTTGTATTCTTATCTGCTTGATACAATGTTCAATTGATGTGTCTGGTTCATTCTTGCTTATTTCGTTTAACTATACAAGTAGCCTGTGACTGACCTGCCATGAAATAGCTAGTATAAACATCAGTTGTCATTATTCAGGTTTGACCCCTTACAATGAAGCATATTTTTTTATCTGATACCATAATGCATATTTCTGATCTGTTACAATGATGCATATTTCTGATCTGTTACAATGATGCATATTATTGATCCGCTACAATGATGCATATTTTTTGACCTGTTACAATGATGCATATTTTTGATTTGTTACAATGATGCATATTATTGATTCGTTACCATGATGCATATTTCTGATTCGTTACCATGATGCATATTTCTGATCTGTTACAATGATGCATATTATTGATCCGTTACCATGATGCATATTTTTGACCCGTTACAATGATGCATATTTTTGACCCGTTACAATGATGCATATTTTTGACCCGTTACCATGATGCATATTATTTATCCGTTACCATGATGCATATTATTTATCCGTTACCATGATGCATATTATTGATCCGTTACCTAGATGCATATTATTGATCCGTTACTATGATGCATATTTTTGATTTGTTACCCTGATGCATATTATTGACCCGTTACAATGGTGCATATTATTAATCTGTTTCAATGAGGCTTATTATTGACTTGTTACAATGATGCATATTTTTGGCCCGTTACAATGATGCATATTTTTGACCTGTTACAATGATGCATATTTTTGACCTGTTACAATGATGCATATTTTTGACCCGTTACAATGATGCATATTTTTGACCCGTTACAATGATGCATATTTTTGACCCGTTACAATGATGCATATTTTTGACCCGTTATAATGATGCATA